ATTTATAGCTAAATGGATGCATATTGAGGCCATACTCTTAAGTGAAATAAATAGGACACACATGTGTAAATACCAAATAGTATCTCTAGTGAGAAACTGAAAGTTTAAATAAGGATTAAAATGATTAAAATGAATAATTGATAATTTGAAATAGGAAAAGTTCCAAAGGTGGAGGGGTGGCGGGAGGGGAAGGGGAAAGGGAAGGAAGGAAAGGAAAAAATTATGAGAAAGAAAAAAAAATGGAAACAAAATCTATGTAAATAGGGAAGGGTGGTGGGGGTGAATGGTGCATAGGTAATGGGGAAAAAAATAAGACCTAAGATACATCATGTTCAGGTACAAACACCCAATGATAAATGTAAATGTACTGTATACCTAAAATTTACCAATTAATATAAAAAAAAAAGAGTGTACTAACAAGTAAAGTGTGAGTCAGTATAGGAAAAACTGTAGACATTCAGAAGGAAGGAACCAATGCCAACAGAGGTTGTAGATAAAGGATTCATAGAGGTAGTGGATATGAGCTAGATTTTAAAGAATCAGTAGGATTTAAAGTGGGGCAAAAAAAGGCACACAGGAAAAAAAACAACAATAAAGGGAAGGGAAAGGAACAAATCAAAACAAGAGGGTTTTGGCCAAGAATATGACATGAAAAACTGTATATAACTTATTTTTGGAAATGAAAGGAGTCAATGAAAGTGATCTGACTCATGTGTCGTGGGAACTCATGTGTAATGGGAAGTATTCTGAAATAAGATTGTGTTTTCTCGAAGTCATGGATATGTGATGAGGACCATGTAGGACATATAGGAGTGACTAAAAAGTATCCAATGAGCCCATATTTCTCAATGAAAGCATCATGTCTGCCTGTTCCCCTCTGTAGGTGATCAAGAGGACACAATAAACTGTTAAAAAGGATGGGTGGCAGTGAAAACCAAGCCTGCTCACTGCAGTAGGAGTTCCCTAGCACATACTCTTTCTTTCGGGCTGACTTTCGCTTCTCTTCATTAACTTCATGGTTGGCATCCCGAAGCTTGACCTCACGATCGGAAAGGCTTGCTGGTATGATGTCTAGCTCCAGGTCCTTGTTATCCTGCATGCAGAGGGATCACAGAGGTTACCTTGGAGAAGCTTTAGAAAAGCCACTCACCCATGCTGGGTGAGGTGTTAAAGCAGAAAACGAGAGAAGAATGTAATGGAGGATGAAAAGATGGGGGGGGGCTATAAACTCCTACCCACAAGCACTCTTCTTACGAGGCAATTCTTCCTTTCAAATAAGAGACAGAAAATATTGAGTGCTAATAGCCATAGTGATAGACATTATGTATCCACTTTTCTGAGGCCTTTAGTCCTGATTACATCTAAACATACACAGGCATAAATGGGTCTAGGACTAGTTCTTCACCAATAAGATAAATATGAAACAGAAACACATAAAGACATAAAAACCTTTGTCAAGGGAAGATATTTTTATTTAAATAACCAATTTCCCTTGCAAACAGATCAATGATTGAACTTTCCAATTACTTGTCCCTGCTTATTTCAACCAACATTTGGTATTTATACATGATGGAATCCTCTAGGGAAAAAATTAGATCAGTGACTGGGGGAAATGTTAGCTGCCTCAACTTTTAGTGGTCTAACTACTGTCTAAGCTTCTCTGCTTTAAAGCATGAGCCTATTTAAAGATTTATGAATTAGAAATTCTAAGATTAAATTGCCAGGCTGTATTTAGCTTTTAATTCATAGGTCACTGACCCCTATTATAAAGAAGAGATTAAAAGTCGGTCTTCCTTTGCTTCATGGCAAATAGTATCTTTTCTCATTTGAAATGTCAATAGCCTTCACACAAATTACACCCCTTATTCTTGAAAGAGCGCTATTATATATACTAGGAACTCTAATCATTTGGGGATTAATATAATTGAGTAGGAGATGGTACTGATGAGGCTAAAATAAAGGGGTTAGTCCTCAAAGTCAATAGTTAACTCTACACAGAGAAAAACCGCTCAGTAGCCATAGGCTCCTCTCCTGGCCAGTCAATTTTGCAATATACAGGGCATTAACTAGAGGTGAACAAATTCTTGTCCCTCACCCCACCCCCACTCAAAAGCCACACAAGGCAAGTAAGTGCTCTAGGATTGCCAGCTAAGAAGGACTGCTCTGGAAACTTCTCCTTGGTGGCAATGGGAGCCCAGTACTATGAGAGACGAGAAAGGAGTACATCCCAGTGGGAGACCGCATACCTACCTCTGTGTTGACTCCTAGGGCTTTCTCCAGGGAGTATCGGTACTTCCCCATCCTCAAAGAGAAATCCCGATAGTGTTTGTCCACTGTGGTCACCCATTTCCTTATCTCTGTGGCATGAATGTGGCCTTTTTCTACAAAGCTATCAGCCAGCTGAATCAGAAGCTTCACCTTCTCCTTTGTTTGCTGCCCCAAAAGATGGTCTTAAGTTACTAGACGACATTACTCTTGGGCCCCTTCCCTCCCAAGTCTCCTTCTCTCCACAGCAGCCATAGGCACCTAAGAGCTAGACTGCATGGACTTATGTCCCATCTTTGCATTTACTACCCTGGTCACCTTGAGCAAAGTGTTTAAACCCTCTGTGCCCTCTCAGTTCCTTCATCCACAAAGCAGGAATTTGAGCAGTAACAGTACCTGCATCATAGGGCTGTTATAAGCATTAAATGAGCTGATAATGCAGAATCCTTAGAACAGTGCCTTGAACTCAGCAGGCCCTCACAGTGCCCACAGGAAGCCATAACCGTTAGGCATTATTATTACTACCCACATCAATACAGTGCTTTTCTGGTTTATACAGTATGTTATCATCACATCTGAGATCTGTGTGAGTCTTGAAGCATCCTTAAGAAGTAGGTGGAGGGAGATAGCCTGGGTCTCTTTGAGTCACAGATGAAACACCTGAGGATTAGTTTTTAGGGTCCAAATTCATATCACTAGTAAGCAATAAAGCCTGTTTTTATTTGATCCTTTCTTCCTAGTTCTCTCCCTTCCCTGGTTTAGAGATGCAGAGGTAGGCTCTGAAACATATGTTGGCATATGCTAGCATCCAAGGAAATCCAACAACAGACTTAGGAGTAAATTTTGTCCCTTTTAGATTAGCCTTTACTTTCCCTTAGAGAGAAAAGGTTTAAAGGAGCCAGTAACTGTTCCAGGTCTAACAAGGCAAAACTCTGACATGTGCTGGGTTAATTTCATTTTTAGCAAAAATTTGTTCAATACCCACTCTGTTCATATGTGCAGAGAGCTATAGGGACGGGCTTGGGGGGTAAACAAAAGGAGGGAAAAAATGATGTTCATGCTCTCCAATAGTGCATAATCCCTAGAGGGGACAAGAGTTTCGTGCTCAGTAGTTAAGTAACTCAGGGCGTCATGTAATTGAATGTCAAAATGAGAAGTGTGTATAGTTAACAAAGCAGGAATTTTAAGTACAGAAAAATGAAGGCATGGTAGCATGAGAAGGTAGGAAAGAACTCTTGGGGAAGGTGGGGCTCAAATTGGGTAAGATGTAAAAATTGAAGGGATATTTAGACAAGAAACCACTTGCTCATCTTTCATCTTAAGTGTAAGTTTTGAAAATCTAAAATCTATCAGGGAAGCCTGAAAATTCTTAAGGGAAAGGATTTAAATAATATTCTAAGAAGAAAAATTATCTTTTGGGCTAGAGAAAAGTAGGTGCAAAAGTTAGACTTCTCATTCAGTTTAGATGACTGAGAGAAACTGAGGGAGAAAAATCAGTGGAGCAGCACTCAAAAAGACAGAAGAGCCTTTCTTTCTTTGCCTTTGCCTCCTAACCCCTCTAACTCTCCTATATCCTCCTCTCCAGGCTCACCTACAGCCCTTTCCAAGAGAGACAAACTCTTCCAAGGATGCCAGAAAGCTCTGTCTGCACACAGCCAGGGATAGTAGGGCTCCAGCTCTCCGCTAGCTTGGCCTACATACTGAGCTTCTCCTATCTCAGGACAGTGGGCTGGTGCCAGGGGCTGGGAGCCAAGGAGCTGGAAGACCTTTGAAATGCAGGAGAGGGGCGAGAGTGAGGGCTCAGCATTGGAGCTGGTTAAGAAAATATAGGTGTCCTAAGGACTTCTATAATATTGCATATAGGGTTTTAATGTTTTTAGAGAAAATGGTTTTCTTAATTTTCCTGTTTACTTAAAACAGAGCTTAATTTTTGCTGCCAAAAATCAAGAAATCCATATTTATGTAAAAGTGCTGGAAATATATATTCTCTGCTTTTGTTAAGGTAACTTCATTTATCAGATGGGATTTTTCAGTCAGGTAGTGGTAGTAACTCTACCAGGGCAGCTCTGTTAGAGGAAAATGCAACCTAAAGCATCAAAACTGTTATTCAAAGCAATAAGGAGAAAGATTTATAACCAAGAGCATCCCAGGCTCTTGTAGAGCCTGGGGAACAAACAGTAAAGTGAGCAGTGTGCACAAGCTCTCCCCCATGTGGCCTGCTTACCATTGCAGCAGCCCTATCTCTATGCTCTCCATGCCCCTGAACAGCAGCCAGGCTGAAGGTCACAGGCCCCTACTGCTATCGTGATGGGCTCCTACTCATTTTATTCTCAATCCAATGGCCCCTTTTGTCTCCTTCTTCCCCACAAGATAGGTGGGTGATGCCTTTCCCCGTGATTCCAAAGAACCTTACACGTGTGTCTCAGTATTTACCATGCAGAGTTATTTATATGTCTCCTTCATTAGACCATGAACTCCTAAAAGGTAACCATCACATCTTATTTACTTGCTTGTCTCTAATGCCCAGGATACAGTGGGCATACCGTAAACTCTGAATGGAGGAATGAGTGAATGAATATGCATATCTTGTGTCTGGAGGAGAATAAAGCCATACCTGCAAGAGTTAACAGTTTACATTGGGAAGAATCAGATGACAAACTTGGCCCATGCACTGAACAAGCCCACTGAGACACCAACTGTGGCCATAACCCTCGCAACATGCAGTCTGGAATGGTTTCTTACATAGTGAGTAAAGTAGTACCATGTTACCTGCCACATTCCTGGCCACAGCTGATGAGATCAGAGGCAAACCTTGCTCCATCAATATGTGGCCAGTGACTCCTGAGGTGTCCTGGCCTAAAAGCTCTCTCTAAAAGGGATAATGTCAACATGGTGGGTCAATGGAGGTTTTGCTCTGGGGATCTGCACTGCAGAATCAGGGATCCAGGTGGTTGACTACAGGGTAGAAGTGAAAACACATCAAGGAGAGGGGAGAAGAAAATGGAAGCTGAATCCTAATAATGGGGGAATATTACAGAGACGTCTGAGCTCCTGCTGTGGGGAGATCAGATAATGTGGCTTCTCAGGGTGCTCCTGGTCTGGGGTGACACCGTAGTTGTCATCTTCAGAGGTGAGACTATGCCACATTGCTTGTTTTTCCCATAGGGTGAGTCATTCAGCATTTCATGGGACCCTGAGAGGTCCATCTACTCAGTTTCTATCTTTATTTCCACACATGGCCATACAATATCTTGTCCCCTACAGAATGCAAGTAAGTTTGAAACTCAAATCTTGTCATCAAAGACAGTATCTTGTATAGACTGATAAAGTAGAGTTCAGATTGTAGTGACTGTTGGATAACAGGTTCAAACGTATGGCCATAACTGATCTTTGTGGAAGAGGGAGAGTTTGGGAATATAACTCACCTGGGTCTAGAAATCTAGAACTGACAGCTCACATATCTTGGGCGTCATGCGTCTCCTAATGTACGTTTTTCCCTTTTTATTTTGAATATATATTATCTGCTGGGAAAGAGCTTTAAGGAAGAGAGATTCAGCAATTCTAGTTTTCCTCTCTCCCTCCTATCTCCCCTTTTCTCCTTTCTCATCTTATTTTCTTTGATCAATTAATATTATGTCATCTTCCCATAATTAGTAAGCCTTACTCTAAGATTTTAAGAAGCTTTTTTGTCTTTAAGATTTAATCCTCTTGATATTAGTTTTATAATTTCATTATAATCTTTCACACTTGCCTTTCATTATTGACCTCATATTTACTGTACATATTTTCTGTACAAATTGGCTTAGTAAGCTCCTTGTTCAGGTAAACAGGTTTCTTGAGATAAATTTCCATATTCACTTTGTGGATCCTTTGGCATTACATGTAAAAAACTTAACCTTTAAAAATTTCCCATCACATATGAGCTAAATTCCTGTTAAAGCCTCAGAAACAGAATTCTTCCCATCCTATCTGAACTGTTTAGATTGTACTTTTCTTTGCCTAAAGTACCTGTCTGACACTCCAGGTTTCCCTTTCCTTGCTGTCTGAATTCCAAGAAGTATAATCTATAAGCTTCCAGTCATTTCATCACTGCTTAATTCTCTTCTTAAGAAGAATGAAGTCTGGTTTATCTTATTGCTGCTCTCACTTTCAGAGACAAAACTACCCACTTAAAAAGTGTATTCTCAACATAGGTCACCACCAACTGTAAATCAAAACCACAATGGATTCTACATCAAAATGACAGACAATAACTTTGTGTTGGCAAAGAAGTAGAGATGTTGGAACCCACATACACTTCTGGTGAGAATATAAAATGGTGCAGCCACTTTGGCAACAGTTTAGCAGTTCTTCTAGGTTAAAAACAGAGGGATCGGTTTATCCAGCCATTCCACTCCAAGGTATACAAATAAGAGAACTGAAAACATGTTCATACCAAAACTTGTACATAACTTTTCACAACATTATAGTGGCCCTAAACTAGAAACAATCAAAACATTAACCTGACGAATGGTAACAAAAAGTGGTATGTCCATACAATGGAATATTATTCAGCCACAAAAGGGATAAAATACTGATATATGCTATAACATGGATATATCCTGAAAATATTATGTAAGGAAAAGAAGCTAGGCACCAAAGGCCACATACTGTATGACTCCATTTATATCAAAGATACAGAAGACAAATCTATAGAGATAGAAAGTACACTAGTAGTTGCCCGAAGGAGGAGGGTGTGGGGAGTGCTAATGGGTATGGAGTTTCTTTCTGGGGTGATAAAAATGTTCTGGAAGTCAATAGTGGCAATGGTTGTACAATCTTGTGAATATAGTAAAAACTACCAAATTATAAAAGAAAAGAAATGAAAAACAAAATGTAAAAAAAGGTTCTGTTTTTAGAAAAGACAAGAGTTCTTCCAGATATTAAGGTGGTATCTATTACCATGCTCTAAGATGCCTTATAAATTAAAAAACCCACAATAGGGAATCTCATTTGTAGTCTCCTAATTGGATTATTTATAGGGATATCACAATGTAAAATTTTATTTTCCTCTTATCCTCACGCAAACTCTATCTAATTTTTATTTTTAATTTGTGGGTTTTTATATAGACGGCATCTTTTTATTTTTTGGTACCAGGTGAATCTAACTCAGGACCTTGTACTTGCCAGGCAGGTGCAGTGCCACTGAGCTAAATCCCAGGCCCTAGAAAGTACCTTTTTATATTCAGTGTTTCTTCCACTTGACCTTTCTTTGGAGCAGAGTATAATAATTCAGTATAATCTATAATCTATGACCTATCAAGTCATGAAGGTCACCATATTCACCCTTTGTGGCTCAGGGTCAGTGTGGTTTCCACTTCAAATTCACTTCATTAGTTTCACAGATTAAAATCAAAGATGGCTGGGTAATAAGAGTCTGGGAAGTGGAATGGAGGTGGTACAGGAGGCTTTTGCTATTCATCAGAAGGTTCTCACGTGGATTTGTTATCCAACAGATATTCGGATACAAATAACCCTGAGATTTGGAGCTTGCTAGATGGGAGAATGATACCCTACACAGAAATAGTTAAGCTGTAGTTAAGCTGGAAGGAAGATAAGAACATAGAGAGCCAAAGTATCAAAATCATAGTAAATACAGATTTGGGGGTGGTGGTGAAATCTACACAAATTTCCTTTTCCTCTATGTTCATGCAAGCTTGTGGCCTCCCTTCAATGCACAAGAGACAGTCAGGTGACCTGAGGAACATGAGATGAATAAACATGAGAAAGATCATATCCTTCAGAATCTTGCTGACTCACAAAGGTGATACTGTTGTACAGATTACTGGAGAACAGATGGTCCATGCCAGGTGTCCAAAGGTTATACAGACAAAGGCTGTGATACAAGGAAGGACCAGATCTTTCCCAGAACACAGCCTGGATCACAGAGGAGATGGCACTTGACTGTACAGGTGGACTCCTTTTAAAAAGTGCAAACAAGAGGGAAGGGGAGGATATTCTAGTTGGAGAAATGGTACAGAGGCAAAAAGCTGTATGATGCATTTCTTGGAAGGTAAAAAAATACATTCGTTGAGCTTGAGCATAAAACTTCCATAAAGGCATAATTGAAGATAAAGCTGGGAAGGGGGCTTAGATATAAAAGCTGTGAGGCCTTATCCCGGAGGCACTGGAGAACCACTGAAGCTCTTTGGCTGAGTGGTAATGTGACCAAAGTAATCTTTTAAAGAGAGGAAAAGCAGGAGGGATTGGAAGGAGGGAAGGGCCAAAAGCAAGGAGCCCAACTGAGAATTGATTACATCTTAGGTTGATAACAAGGAATGGAAAAGAGGAGAAAGTTATGAAGTGGGTCGTAAAGGAAAGATGAACTAAATTGAGTAGTTCTCCACATTACCACCTTGGTTATGAACCAAAGAACCTTAGGATTCATAGTTTAAGAAGTTCTGGGTATCTGCTGTTGTCCATCCTATGCAGGTAAGAACACCCAGAAAGTTGATACTATTCATCCCATTAATGGTTTACCATTGTCACTATTTGGAGAAGGGCACATAGACTTAAACTGGCTAACTTAAAAGCTGTTTTCTGTTGGATTTGAACATGGCTCTGTTCAAATGTGCCACTTCTTTGTGCTGTTCACTCTACCTGATATTGAAATGAGTTTCTTATCTGATTTCATACTTTTTTGTGTTGGGCAAAAAGTCCCAAAAAGGTCACAGTGGTATAGGGAACAGCTCTCTAATATTGAGAGTTCATAGTATGGGACTCATAAAGTGGAAATTACTTGAAATAATTGGTTCAGGAATGAGGTTCAGGTCTTAAAATTGTTACACCAAACCAGAGGAACATGCACTGTAGTGCCAGAAACATTTCTGGGTAGGATAGGGAATTAACATGCTCTGGCCTTTGGCTCCCATGAAAGCAGCTCTCACCTTAGGAAGAGCATCTCCTGTATGTCTGAGTGAAGCCAAGAAAGGCTCCTACATGGCAGGGAGCCTAGTATGAGAGATGAGGATGTTAGAGAGAGGAAGCTGAGACAGATAAGATTTTCATTCAAACCCAAGCAGTCTAGGATGAAATGGTGGCTGTGACAACATGAAAATCGCATTTCCTTTCACACAGCATCCCTTGCCACCTCATGTGCATGAGGATGTGAGGGTGTATACACATTTTGCTTCCCAGAGACACAGCCTGACTCATTAGCAGGTCTGAGGCTAGACAGAAATAGCTCAGGAAAATATACTCAGGAAATAAGAAACTCACCTCCTTTGGGAACCCACCCATAGATACCAGCCCTTCCCATAGTTGGAATTTTCAAAGCCATTCAAACTTCAAGAATATGTGGATACATGCAGATGTTCACACATGCCTGCACATTTTTGCATGAATACACCTTTTTGGCTCATTTGGTCTGAAAGAATAGAGCATATCCCAGAACCTGGAGCATAATGAGAAGCACAGTGTATAGCAACTGACTTTACACTTAGAGCTGCTGTGCCTAGCAGCTGCAATTCCTTGGGAATGCAGGTTTCACAAGAGACAATCCTAAACATGCTTCCCTCTCACCATGTGAGCCATACATTTCTGCTTCCAGAGGCTGCTCTTACTTCTATAATGTGAAATTGGCCAGGATGGGGGTGCTAAGTGGACTTGGGGTGGGGTTCAGGGTGCTTCCTACCTTGGCAGGCACCCTGAATTCTCCATATTCTTTTAGTAGCTCCTGAGTCTCCTCTGTGGTCTCTCCCATGGAGGTATGTGTTGAGAGGTAATATTCACCCGTTTCTTGGATCCAGTCCAGTGCCTGTGAGAGGAAAGAACCCAGCCAGTCCCCCAAAGGCAGCTGTCAGTAGGAAAGCATGCCACAAGAAAGGTTTATAACTTGGGACAACATGATGGGCCTGGGAAATGCTCACACCATTGACTCAGCAGCTATCTCGGAAGGTGTTTTTATGAATGAGCCTGTCCCTGATGTGGAATATCCCAGCAGCAAATCATTAGCCAGGGGACTCTTCTGGGCCAGGTGCAGTCTCATCTGTGAGCTAGGGACACAATGAACAGCATCTCCTCACATACCTGGTGCCAACTCAGAAGAATGCTTGGTCATTCTAAATTGACAAGTGACAGCCTGTTCCTTCATCTCTCCATCCCCTCTCTGTCCCTACTCTCCTGCTGCTGGGGTCTTCTTCTGGATGGTCCCAAGCCATAGTCATGGAGGCCGCCGTATACTCCACAGAACAGAGGCAAAGCCATGGAAAGCTCTGGACATACCTGTTTGGCACTGCGCTCAAACACCACATATTGCTGGCACTGGTCTAACCGCCTCTTTTTCAAGGTCCAGAAATGCAGGACACGATTTTCCCTCTGTAAGAGCTCGCTCAAGATGGCTGGAGGCAGAAGAGATGAACACTGGTCATAGGAGGCTCTGATCAAACCCTCAACTCCCTTGGCCCTACCACCCAGGCTGTAGGTAACTGACTTTCAAGGGTTCCCATGGGACTAATTCAACTCCAGAAGGAAGAAAGCCAAAACTGGGGACAGAGAATTTCCCAGGGGGAGCAAGCTTGGGCAGTCTAGGTGACAGCCAGTTTTTGAGGGCATTGTGAGTTAGGGGAGGAAGAAGAGCCATGGATGACTGACAATGAGCCTGATCCTCTTCACACCAAAGTTAGATCTTGGTTGTAAGAGATGCTGGGGAGCACCAGTCCCTAAAATAGCAACTGATTCAGCCGCACAGCCTAATGAGCATGGATGGACTTTGTTGGGACTCCTAGGCATTCCAGAGGATTTTCTAAAAGAGGGGCTGGACTAATGTATGGGCAGGGGCTAGGCTAACATATGTATGGACTTCTTCACCCTGCATATAGCACTCTTAACAGCAGAACCTCAGTTACAAGACTTCTGAGCAGAGGGCATAGGGAGCTGCATTAGAATCATGTCTATGTGCTGTCATTAGGTCCAAACTTCCACGTTGTCTTGGATCTGATCATAAGAAAAACTGAGTATCTGGCTTCAGCGTAGGGAGTATAAAACATTACTGTGCTTTACCATGAGAGCACAACCCAAATTGCAGTATTTGCACTTAGAAGTTTTTGTTGATTTTATTTCTTTTTAATGGCTCCCTGGAGGTTTGGCTGTAGGGATAGAATCTGTTCATACTCCCCCTCTTAACCTGAGAACTTTGATGGGTCCCAATTATCCACCATGTGGATAAGTCACATGGCTCGGCCATGTGACTTGCCTTGGCAAATAAGTTGCTAACAGATATGACAAAAGCAGGGGCTTGAAATATGACTGCAGACTTGACCTTGTCCCTTGTACCTCTGCCACCTCCACTGTGAGAACTTCCAGGTAACTACTACTCTTCCCACCCTGGTCGCTGCACAGACAAGAACCTCTCCTATAGTGAAGTCCCATTTTAGTCAGCCTGAAGTACAACTACGCTGCTGAGCCTACCACAGAGGGGAAGCCCAGCCAATACTTAGTCACCTGCACAATAAATGTTTACAGCTGTGGTTGTTATGCAGCAACCTGTTTTGGTTGTTATACTGCAATCTTTGCTCCCATATCAAATACTTACAATAAGCTTCACTGGCTTCGTGTTCAGGTAGGAGGTGAAAAGGAAACATACCAAAGGGATTGCAGGTTCCTACTCAGGTGGAAGCATTCACTGGACAAGGACAGAGGAAGTGCCTCTTCCCTTTTGTCTTTATGTCCCCTAGTCAGAACTTGGTTAATTATAGATCTCTCTCTGATGCCTGACAGAATCAGGCTAAATCAGACAACAATCCTAAAGAGTTTAGGGTTTCATTTTTTTCTTCTTCTTGAAAGTTTCATATGGACGAAAATCTACCATCACCCCAGGAAGACAGGCATTTCTGGCTCCCTCTGGTGCCCGCCCCTCTTCTGCACACAAGTGTAGGTGGGGTGTGGTGTCTCAGCAGCAGCTGGCCTCACCCAAGTTGCTATCTGCATTTGGAAGACAGAACATATGCTCTGAAATGTGCTGGAAGGAGAGGGTGACATAATGTCAGCCACCCACAGGGGCTCTCAATCAAAAACAGAATAACACATCTGGAAAAGAAACTTTGCAACCCTCCTCTCCATAGGGAACGTTGATTCCCAAGTTTAATTCTTTCCTAGGGCTTTTGATCTTCCTGGCTTTTGTGCTGTCTGATGAGGAGGAAAGCTTCACCTAAAGGCCCTGCATCCCCTCTGTCAATGATGTCTCTAAGCCTGCCTCACCCCTCACTCCAGTCAGCGAAGGTTCCCTTCCTAGTCTTGGAATCCAGGGTTGTATTTCTCTGCTCTGACAAGTGGACTCAAAGGCTAATTTCTGCATGGTCAGTCAGAGCAATAACTGAAGATAGCAAAACATAATAATTTAAGTGTAATGTGATCAGACAATAAGCAATTCTAAAGGTTATATATTTTCATATAATTATAGACTTTACAGAATTCAGAGAGATATTGAAGACTATCTAGAATAGTAGTTATGTAAATTTTATGTGTATGTTGTATAGGTGGGTTGGGGGTGGTTCTTCTTTTTTTTTGAGATAGAATTTTGCTATATAGTCCAGGGTGGCCTCAAACTCCTGGCACTCCTCTTGCCTCAGCCTCCCTTGTGCTGAGATTACAAGTGTGCACCACCACTCCGGCTTGGGGGGTACTTCTTGCCAAAATTCAGGTTCTGACTCTGTAGGTGGGCCCTAAGAGTCTGTTTCTTGTACATGCTCCGAAGTGACATTAATGCTGCTCATCTGAGAACCATATTTTGAGCAGTAAGAGTCTAGACGTTCTCCTCATTTTAAACATGAAAACTAAATTTTAAAAGCTCAGGCAATAAGTGACAACTCTAGGATTAGACCTTGGTTTTATAATTCTCAGTCTATGCCTTCTTCCTAGGTTGAAGACACCCTAGTCTTGTGCTGTTTAATATGGTAGCCACAGCCACATATGGATATTTAAATTTAAATTAAATGTCATATAAAAGTAAACATTTTGTTGCTCAGTTGCAGTAGCCATACTCCAAGTGCTCAATGGCCACATGTGACTAGTGGCTACTCTATTGTACAGTGTAGATATGGGCCATTTCCATTATTTCAGAAAATTCTACTAGGCAATGTAGTAGCCCTAGACCAGTTGTGGTGAACCTATGGCACGAGTGCTGCAGCCGGCGTTTGTTATCACCGAAAGCTCTAAAAGGTTCGCTATCATTTTCCTAGACCCTAAGATAATTGAAAAAGCTTGGAGAAAGTTTATTCTCATTTTTCTACTCCAAATCTTGATGCATGTTAGGAAAGTGAGCATCAATCATCACTGCCCACACCGTCCCACCTCAGATTTTTTCTTCTCTAAGGAGAAGAATTGGGAAATTCGCAACTGCACAAAGACTAGGTTCACAGTAGTGAGGGGCTGGCCTCTTGTCCATACCATGGGTGTGACTTGTGGCCTGGCAGGTCTCTCACTGACCTTTCACTTGCTGCTCAGGGCCCCGGGTGTGGCTGGCGACACTGGGCATGCTGACATTGTTCCTGTGGATGTACTTGAGAAACACTTCAGCATTCCGCCGTGCCAGGGTACAGGCCTGAGAGAGACAAAAGTGTGAGGGTCTTATATCCAGCAGGTGTGTGGAATTCAAGACACCAAATAAAGTGTGTCTTCCTTGCACTTTTTAGGAGGCTTGAGGGCCCGATGGTGATGAAGGTGCTGGAGGAATCCAGAAGAAGTGGAACTCTGGAGGCCACTTCTGGCCCATGGATGCTACAGTTCCAATTCAAGAGGCTCGAGTTCTGATCTTTTCTTTTACCAAGTAAAGAATTCTTCCCTGTGCCTCTTTCCTTTCCATCTCAGATAAAAATCAGAAATAGTCAAATCCCTGGACCACCTACATATAAATTTATCATTATTAATGATCACTCCTGGGCTGGTTTTCTTCTTCTTCCAGAATGCCTTTCATATGACCACTGGTGTAAGCCCAAGGAACATAGCCCATTGTAATATTAGTTTAATGTAGACTTTAGAAAGTAAAAATTTGGGGGTAAATATATCTATTAACCATAAATCTAAGTGGAAGTTTTTAATCAATATTTTTCAAATTAGTCTGTTAAGCCCCAGTTACCTTAATAACTCTAATATGCATCCTTTATACCACCCCTTCAAGACTCATATCACCTGTGAGAAGCAGAGAGGACAGCTCAGTTTCTCTCTGCTGCCCCGATGGATGGACAGGACTAAGGCCTCAAAAGAGCAGGCAGCAGGAAGCAATCATATCTACTCTATGTCTACTAATAGCAGTTCTAGTTTCTCTTGAGATTATATAGGTTTTGAATTTTTCTAAAATGTAGGCTTTTCCTCCTCTGGTTGTAAAACCAATACATGCTAGTACACTAATTTTTATCCATAGTTTCCTGAATTAAATTATCTCTAGACCAATTGTTAAATTTTAAATCTTCTTATGCTTAAGCCTCTGAGCCCACAAAATTATATGATTAGAGGTTACTATATAATTTTATGATTTATTAAAATCAGCAACAAAGGCTGGTGAGATCTTTGGTATAAGCTTGCTGGTGGGTCCAGGATCTCTGAGAACCATGAATTTGAGGGCCCGATGATGATCTAAAGTTAAGGAATTTGAACTGGATCCACTAATGTGCCCAGATGGAGAGCTCAACATTCTCTCTATTGGGCACAAAATCTCCACAGTTACAAGGAGTTTCTCTCTCTGCTTTTAGGGACACAGAAAACATTAGCCCAGAGGTTTTCCTTTTTTCTTCTTCAAAAGAAACATTTAATTTTCTGAAGAAATACCTTTATACCTTTATTTAAAATCCTTGCTGTGGAGTACTTAAATTGTTTTGTTCTAGACTTTGTTTTATAATAGAAAAAACTTAAAAAATTATTTTAAGCCCTGTACAGAAGAATTTCTATTTAACCATATTTGTCAGTGCCAATTACTAAAGGTTTTGACCAACACAGGTGCAGATACCAGACAGATGGGAGAAAGGCAGGGGGAGGCTATCTTCAAAAGAAGGACAAAAATAAAACTCAAAGAAGTAGTTGAGTAGAGAATGTACCTAATAAAAGAAAGACAATTATAGAATTACACAAAATTAGTGGCAACATGTGAGAATATAAAAACTTTCTTTTGTATTTTTAAAAACCCAAGAGGAAGCAGAGGATAAAAGTGAGAAACCTAGAAGTGAATGGTCCCTTTAGATCAGGCTGAACAAAGACAGAGAAGATGAAAGGCCAGTTGGAGATGCTCAGTAGGACTTCCCACTCCACTGACGGCCTGTGCCTGTGCGGAGCAGGGCTGTGCTTCCTCCCTGGGAGGCTTAGGTGGCCTCTGTCAGAAAACCCCAAGTAAGATATTTCTACTTTCATACAAGAGGATAAATACTCTAGTATTTATCGGTAATTGATAATTGTTAGACTGATAAATAAATAGGCTGTCTAAATTTATTTATTAATTTTTACCCAAATTTTGCATCATCCATTATTAAAATACTTTAAATAGTGTTTTATAACTAGGTTTATATCTTTTGATCAAAAAGTAATTTTATAAACCAAATGTAATTGAGCAAAAGTGTGTATTTTTCTCAATAAATGACATCCATGGGATATCAGGCTATTCTAATTGGCAGTGGTAGTAATGGTGTATCCTAACTGCCTAGTGCTACCAAAAGTACAAGGGCAAAATCAATGTGTAAAGTGTAACCTTATTGTCTTTCAAATTAACCAGTCAACATCTTTTTTTATAACTCTTTTCCCTGTTTAGAAAAAATGGAAGACCATATGAATATGTGTGTGTGTGCATGTGCATGTGCACACACACGCATGTGAGAGAGACAGAGAGAGAGGGAGAGGGAGAGAGACACTGACAGGGACAGACAGGCAATAAGGCTGGAGTCTGAGGCCTTGCATGACAATATGTTCTGACCTTAAGAAAAGCTTCCTTTTGTTCCAAGTGTTTGCTGATGAGTGGAATGACATGGTCGATCTCTGCTGCTGGCCCCAGTTTATCTCGTCCACCGCACCAATCCTCGTCTCTCCGATATTCTTGCTCTAAGCTCTCCAGGACACTGCACACCTTTATGAATCAAGGAGGAAGACTCAGTAGATTAATCAGTCACAAAGAGTTCTCTGAGGACTTCAGCCCACAGAACTCTACATAATGACATTTTTCATTTGAAGCTCAGTCTGTATATTTGGAGTATGCTACATCCCTGGGACATCTAGAAGTCCAGGAGGTGGTTCGAATCCTGTGTCTGCAGCTCAGGAGACAGATTGTGGCTGGAGATATGGGTTTTGAAATTATCTTTTTACCACTGATGGCTGAAGGCTGACACTATGAGGGTTCATGAAATTACTTAGGAATAGTATGAGGACTAAGAAAGGAAGACTAGTATATTTTTGGGGGGTTCAAAGTGTTTTATCTATATTATATTGTTATGATCTCAGGATAATTGTGAGCTAGGCAGGAAAGAAAATGGGATTTGAAAAAGATACTTGATGTGCCCAATCATATGTACTTGTCCTGCTATAAGGAGCCTCAAGCAGAAGTGAAAGAAGAAGTTGCCTCTGTTGTGTGATCTGTGGGTCATAAACAAAAGTCATCTTTCTCCTCACCTGGGAAAAATGTTCTAAGGTCCTACCATAAGGCAGTGAAATCTCCAGGCTACCTACTACAAAATGCACATTTCTTTCAGAGGAAAAATAAGTTTGAGTTAACCTAAAAAATAGTTTAAAAGGTTTTCAATTCTGAAAATATGGAAAAACCATGCTGAATGACCATATCAATGACCTCAGAAGAGAGCAGAGCATTTTGAAGGAGGTTTGGAGGGAAAGTTAGGTTGGGTCATACAGTGGGAGACCCAAGGTAGTCTAGTGTCAGAGGGTAGAAAGGATACAGACAGTAGAAACTTGAGTCCCTACACTTTCCTCTAATAGACTTGAGTACTTTCTTAGATACTGCAGCAAAGGAGGGTAGCTATAATTATCCTTAGTCTCCTGTGAGAAAGTCATCCCTTTTGATGAAGGATGTGTCTTTGGACAGGATATTCACTGAGTTATGAGCTGAGCTGAAAGATGTCTCATCCAGAATACCCTTGTGACCAGACAGGCTTCCCTGTCATATGAAGGTCAGTGCCTGTACTCAAGGAAACTTGTCTAGCCCCATCTCTAGCATGTCTCTATGCAAGACATGAAAACTTGCAGGCAGGCTTATATCTTGAGATAAAGACTTTCCTTCCTTCATTGAATTTGTAAAAAAAACCTGTATATATGTAGATCTACTTTTACAACCTCTGTTCTGTTAGACTGTGTCTAACCTTATACTAATACCATCTGTCCTGGTCATAGTGGCTTCAGAATAAATAAGTCTTTAAATTAGGCAATGTAACTCTTCCAATTTTATTCTTCCTTTTCAAGGTTGTTTTGCTATTTTAAGCTCTATGCATTCTAGGTTCACTGCATTTGCATTTTATTTCTATATAAATCTTAAAAATCAATGTATAAATCTTGCTGGGATTTGGTTGGGATTGTATTGATTCTACTGGGGAAACTGTTTATCATCTTAGTCTGTTGCTTTCAACTTCTGTGGCCATCAAAAGCATACTTCTCTGAAATAACAAAAAGAAGACTGAGAAGTGTGGGGACTACAACGCTGACTGCAGGCTCTGATGGGGATGTTATATTTGCTCCATTTCAAGGTCCCTGTAAGTGACCCATAGGGGAATGCTTTTCTGATCTATTTCTACTAGGGAGCAATTCAAATGAGAAAACTTTTTTAGACTGAATAAAATTACTCCCACTTTAAGGCTCTGTTTCATGAAAAGAATTCCCTAACAGCATCCAAATCATTTAAAAATTGCACATATTGCTGTGAAGATGTACTGATAATGTAGCTGCATTTCATGGCCCTACTGCATGCCTCTCCTGTGATACCAGCTTACTGCTTAGGCCCACAGTTCCCCAATGAGAGAGAGCTATGTTCCCTACAGTAGACTGGCAGCTCCATGCATGGCAGAATCATATGTTTTTAAAGCAATGTGTAATGCCTGATTGTGGTAGATTATATTATTGTTAAGCAAATAGTCATTTTCCTTTCCCAACCTTCTAAGGAGGCATTGTTGGCTCACTGGTGTTGGCTTGGCCATATGATTATTTTGGCCAACAAGATGTTAGAGAATGTGACAGAGATAAAGACTTGCAATACTCTTGCACAGAGGACTTTGGGCTTCTGCATGCTTGCCTGTAACTATGAATGTATCCAAAGTAGCTGCTGGTCAAGGAAGATGAAAGACATAGGAGCAGATCTGGATGCAGCATGCAAGCTGGGAGCTTATCTCTACCAAAGGCAGCTGAAGTCAACTGAACCCCAGATAGTTAAACAATAAATAAATGCATATTGTTTTTACTGTCAAGTTTGCAGTGGTTTGTTACATAGAGTTATTGTGGAAGTAGCTGACAGATATATTGCTTAAATCTAGCATTCAGCATATATCCACTTTCTACTTTGTCACTTATATATAGACCTGATGAGTTTGAAAAATGTAAGAGAAACAAATCACATGGTCCACTTGGATAATGGAAAGGATGATAAGGAAGCTAATGAGTTACTCTGCAAGCCATTCTTTCATTCTCAAAGGCTGTGCTGAGAGAACTGCTCTTAGTGGCGGTTGTACTGCAGAACTGCAATGTGTGGTAGGACACAGCCCTGGTCAGCCTCAGCCCCACATGTCCCACAGTCCCTTCCCTCACCTGTTCAGAAGTTTTGTAAAAGGCCACAGAGGCATTGACCAGTTTGAGTCGGTCTTCCATCTTCAGCATGAGCTGCTGCCAGTGGAGGGCTACCTTCTCGGCACATTCCCGGATGGCATCTGCATCATAGTGGCCAGCCTGGAGCAGTGCCTCAGCTTTCTGCTGCACCTGCAGGGCACTCTGGTGCGTCTTCTGCAAGGAAGTGGCATGAAAGAGGGACTGGGCACGAGGGGTAGGAGAGAGAGGTCCATGGGAACAACCCAGGCATGGTATGGGAGGGGGTGGAGTGAGGCGTGAGTGGAAAGATGCAGAGAAGTTAAAAAGCTTTAAATGACTGATCCATTTCATCAAGATGATTAATACATTATTGTTTTAAAGTATATTTTAAACAAGAATTTCATATACTTTCATCAACTGATCTCTCAGGACTCTAACTCCTGTCTCCACTCCTTGTTTTCTGCTTGCATCTCTCTGGAATTTAATGACATCTCAATTTTCACGGCAGAGAAAGAGAAGTAGTGTATAAATGTGCTCTTTGATTGGTTCATTAGTTAAATTTTCTTTTCAAGCGAACCATAAAATTATCACTACATTTTCAGAGATAAATGATGCATTTTACAGATTAAATACGATATATTTTAAAAAACCTCCATATCACATAAATCTCAAACAGTGCACACATTTTAAACATTAATAAACAGTTTAAAAGGACTCCAGTAGAAGGAATAAATTGGGCAGGTTAATAAAACTAAAGAGTAACCTCTCACATCCTCCCTTAAGTTACTTCACCAAAGGAGTAGAGCAGAACAGTAGATAACCAACTCAACACATGATATTTACATTTGATCTTAGGATATATTTATCATATATCTTATTTTTTAATGCTTTCTGATTCAGACTAAATGTACTTTGTATTCTCTGAGTTCACATTAATTGCAGGAGGTGGGGAGACCAGGGTGGGGGACTGGGTAATAGGGAGAGAACCAAATGGGATTGCAGTCTCTCAAGACCAAGCACTGATATGGATGATCTACATGAGAATGTCAGAGCCCAACTGACCTGAAAGAGCTAAGAGCATTGCAACTTCAACTGTTGGGACCACTTCAGCCTAACGGTGTAGGTTTGGCCTTTGTACTTTTAGGAAAGTATAGTTCAGCTGGCAATGAAGAGGGAAAGCTAGGAAGCCCAGGGAGTTACTCCAGAAATCATTTCTGCCCTTCTTGGGCAGTGCTGAGACTGTTTGTTCTCAAGAGCTAGTCCATTCAGCATTCCTTTGGTCCCTCACTTTCACCATACTTCTCCTGGATTCCCCACACATTTGGCCTTTGCCCTGATTTCAGACTGCAGTCTACACACTCCTACTTCTTTTTCCCAGTCTATCAACCACCTTTTGGCTTTTGTCCATTCTCTCCTGAGTTGGTAGTGGCTCCATTAGTATGACTTCCTCCAGCAACCCAGGTCCCTGCAGGCCCTTGTCAGCCCTTTGTCCTGACTGCTATGTCAGCATCGGGTTCCTAATTGCTGAATGCCGCTAGAAAAAGTAAACTAAAGGGCACTCAGGGGTCCACTTTGTTCATTTATTTGTTCATTCATTTATGCATGTTGGTGACTGAACTCAGGGCCACAAGCAAGCTAAGCATATGTTCTACCTTTGAGTTATACTCCCAGCTAGTCCTCCCATCCTTCACCTTTCTACACTTTCACTTAATTCTCTGTATTAGGAAGTGCCTCCATTAGATGGCTTCTAATATCCTTCCCAGCTCTAAAATTTGGATTTTATGCTTTAAGTATCACTCTTCTGTCAATTCAAAAGCTTTGAGTGTTTTCCCTCATTGCTATGAAATTAAGTCCAAACTTCAAAGGCTGACATTAAAATTCCCCCTACTTCTGTAACATTACTACCTATTGCTTCTTTCCATAAATCATTTGAGAGTCTACCATGTGCATTCTTCCCTTTGCCGTCTTCCTTCCTCCTACCTTTGGTGAATGGCTGTGCTTTTCTGCGTCCCAGCTTTCCTTTGACACTCTCCTTAAATCTACCCCCTTCAACAAAGGTAGACTTTTTGGAAGGCCTGAGACTCACTGAAAACTACTCTCTTTTGTTCTCCTCTGTCACTCATCTAACACTTGGCTGAATCTTGTTACTTACACCGTGAAACTCAAGGCAAGGACAGTTTGAAAAGTCATTTAAATAGCTGTCATTCATCCAAGGGTACGCTCTGTGCTTATGCACATATTTTCTAGCTCTCTTAACATTACTGCAAGGTGGATGTACTTTTTTCCATCTCAGAGATTAAGAAACTGATGTTCAGTTGGCTAAATGACTTACTCAAAAATCTATAACCAAAGAAGTGATGAAACCAGAAATAAGACTCAGATTTGACCTATTCCCAGACCTATGTTCTTTACACTGTATAGCACCATATCATTTTAGCTGTTGGGTTAGAAGTGTACTCATTTGGAGGAAGGGTTCACCAGATGAACATAATTGATTATGATAACTATCTAGTCTTTCCTCAATATATAAAACCAGCATATAATAGTCATCATAAACCCATTATATCTTTTTCTCTCAGAGTAGGGGAGTAGCCTGGATTTTCCTATAGTCTATGCTATGTAATAAATTCTCTTTCTTACTCTGAATTGCATTATCATCTAATAGCCCTAAGAACTCCTTCCCCTTTTAATTTCCTAAATGATAAAATCTTATTTGCATAGCATAATCTTTGCTTTGCTAAACTAAAGCCATTATTTTGCATTTATTTTTATTCCCCATTATCTAATCCTGTTGAGTGCTATAACTTTAAGACATGGATTATCAAGGGCATTAATGTTTAGTAGGAATACATGGAAGAAAGTTGGAGTGGATCAATTGAATATATTATCCAACTTTAACTACATTTTTGGCATACTATTTATATTTAAAATGCCAAAGAGAATTTAAAAAATGGATTTTAAAATTGAGCTTCTATGAAGTTCGTAGTTCCTAAAGACACACCTGCTATATCCTGGATACTAACAAATAATAATCTAGGTTTGCTTGCAGTGTTGTTCATTGCTTCCCATTATGAATGACTCTGGGAAGTCTACCTGAAGCCAAGGCTATTTCAGATAAATATTCTGACCTTCTTTGGGAAGACCAAAGCCTTCAACCTGTGTGGCCACTCCAGCTAGGGTTAGCAGATATTTTGGTTTGCTCAGGATAGTTCTGGTATGTGTGTATTTTTCTGCCTCAGTTACCAGTAATTCTTCCCTTAACTTTTAAAAATGTCTCAGTTGGCACAATAAAATATATGATCATCCTACCAATGGCTCTTTTATTTTTCCCGATGGAACTCAGGGTTCTTTCTTAGGGTTCAAGAAGACAAATGATGCTCCCTATCAGCAATCATTATAAAGGCCTCCATAACACCATCCAAATGGGATAAGCCAAACCAGACTACTTAAACTCCTTTTAACAATGTTTATATCCTCCCTGGAGTATTTCCCTCCTGATGCAGTATCTGATATACACTTAAGGAGCAGTACGGGCCCTCAGGAGAAGGAGCATATGCTGAAACTGGTTCTACTCTCCTTGTTATTCTAACCATGCTGCAAGCCCTGTCTACCTCCTATTCTCAAGATCTTCCAATACTCCCATCTGCTCTGCCATGCCCTTTTGAGACCACAGACATCAAGCTAGAGTCACCTGTATCTCAGCATCAATTCCAACAATATTTGACCAAGTTGTACTCATAGAAACTCAGGGCTGATTAGGAAAGGTTTATGCTTAGTGAGGCTCTATACTGTAAGAATGAGTGGCATCTAATAGGAATTAGCACAGATGTCTATACAGCCATGTGGGATTTAGTCATTTCAATACTATTGTGAAAGCATTTGCTCACGTTTTCCTGTCAGCTCATTGAGATATTCAAGCATGTCATGCACTTGGTCTTTCTTGCCAGACATTAAATGAAGGGACTGGAATTGTAATCACCTGATAGGGCAATGTAAACCTTCTCATTCAAGATAAGTAAGGAGGAGAATGGCCAAGTTCTGTCCTGTCTCTGCTAAGCTTCCCTCGCAGTTGGTTTGACTGTCAGACCCTTCTCGCTGCCTTTGTATACTGGATCTGAAACACTGTGTGCCTGATGATAACCCCATCCTAGTTCTTCCTTTATAATGAGATCGTAACACTATTGAATCTTGATGTATCAGTATTCTGCAACAGCTGATGATAATAAAACCTCTCCTATGGTTAATTTCTCCTTGGAAAATGATTTGCTCAAAATGTGCATGCAACATAGTTTATTTTTAAATCTTAAATCCCAGATAGTACTTCTAGGACCAGTACTGGTTCCTAAGAATATATCAAGCATCTTCTGGGAACATGTCCTTCATCTTAATTTACTCTTATGCCTAAAAGATGGTTTCAGTAAAATTAAATATTTAAATTCAATCAATGTTAAGTTTAACATCATTAGTAATCAGTTGGATAATCGTATTAAAAGAAAATAACATGTTTTTCAGTTTTTATACACTCAGAAGTGGGCTAAGTTCTACATGAACCACAAACAATGAGTATTTGAAGTTTTCGCTCACTTTTCCCATCGGTACTGAACTTATTTTATTTTTAATGTATTTCTCCTGTCCCATTTCCTACTCTTTCCACCATACCACTGTAAAGCAATCAACTTAAGTCTCTTTGGGAAGGACAATGACCTAGCAGCAGAAAAGATAATTAAAGATGTTATTTAAAGCAAGGCAGCATTTATATATATTAGGTTATCATGAGTGAAGTTGTATTTTAGGCTTTTAAAAAGTTCTATTTGGTGAATTTCTAGTTGCAGTTGATTTTTTTAAAAAATTATTTATTTATTTGTTTATTTTGGTACTGGGGATCAAACTTCGGACCTTGCACTTGCCAGGCAGATGCTGGAACAACTGAGCTAAATCCCCAGCCCTGCAGTTGATTTTTAAAATATGATATCTATCAGCATTCTTGATGCAAATTATCTAGTGCAAGCTGCTCTAATGCTCATAGTCCTTATTAACCTTTCAATGCGTAGGATCCATTTTTGGGGACCCTCTCCCAACAATGGAACATAACGAAATGTTTTCAAAGTCTTGTTCCCTGAATTTTTCTAGGTAACACATGAATTTCATGCAAAAATTCAAAAAATTTCATCTCAGCATAAATGGTTAAAAGGCAGACTTTCACCTATCAACTACATGTTTAAAAATAAGATCCCAATTTACTATTGACTTGTTTATTCTCAGTCTTAAGAGATCTTCCATTGAAAGTAACTTCTAAACTTTTAGCTTTATATTTTTCACCTGGTACATAGTCCATGCTGTGCAAAAGCTCCTTAAAGACAGAAGGCACCAATGAACAACAAAGTCTCATCTGTACTGTGAATACCTGACTTGTGATAGCAGAACTTCTAGGGGAGGTGTGCCCCTGCGCGTGCTTCCCCTTGATAGCTCAGGGTCGGGGAGGCTCTAGGGCCATTTGACTAGAAGGAGTAATGCCCACATCTCAGGGATAGTCCTGCTTGAAGTACAGAACAAAATGGAGACAGAAGACAGTACAGCCAGATTTGGGTATTACCTCGATGGCTAGTTGGAACTGCTCGTGCTCCCGCTGCAGCTGCTCTGCCTCCGACAAAGAGCTGGCATTTACCAGACTAGCATTGAGCATGGACTCTCCATTACGTATCCATCCCAGGACCTAGGGAGTTGGTACAAACACACAGGTAAATGACCTTCAGCAACTTCCTGGGTGTTGGTGCCTTTTTTGAGTGGCGCTTCAGTTGGAGGGCTCTCTAAAAGGAGGATCTTTAGTCAGGTGTGCTGGTGCGTGCCTGTCATCCTTGCGATCTGGGAGAATGAAGCAGGAAGGTCATAGGCTGATGCCCAGCTCAGGCAACTTAATGGGTCAGTGAGAACCTGTCTCAAAACAAAACATTAAAAAAGTGCTGGGGCTGGGTGTGGTGGAGCTTGCTTGTAAACCCAGTGCTAGGGAGGCTGAGGCAAGAGGATCGCTGCAGGTTGAAGGCCAGCCTGGGCTACATAGTAAATTCCATGCCAGTCTAAACTACATAGCAAGATCCTGTCTCAAAAAAAAAGGACAAAGGATCTTTTTGTTTATGTTTTTGTTTTTGTTTTTTAGGCGGGTGGTGGAACCACTCAGCTAAATCCCTGGCCCACAAAGGGTCTTTTAGTTGTTCTTGTTGTTGAGATGGATTCCAGCTATGCAGTTCAGGGTGGCCTCAGATTTTGCAACTATGTAGCCCAGGTATCTCACCTTCCTGAGTAGGTAGGATTACAGGCGTGCACCACATGCCTGGCTAGGGTCTTAAATGATCACCATCCCAAACTTTCTATTACCTTGTGCTATAAGGAGCTTATTTTACATGCCAACTTCATTCCTGGCTTCATATATTATTTCCTCCCCTCATCACCTTTTTGTCCCAATTTCCTCATTCACTGAATTAAGAATTACTTAATCTGGTTGTTTTTATATGTGTCTAATTATACACAATGGTATAAATAAATAAATTTTAACTGTTTGTATCCATTTCCTTTTTAAAAGACCCAGTTCAAATAATTTCTTGGAATCTTCTGTTGGAAACAATATCCTTATCAAAAACAACCATACTGTTTTGTATGTACCAACTTTATGGCAATCACCAGTTATTTCAACCTACAATTCATCTCCCTCTCAGATTGTAAAATTCCTGAAAACTAGAATAATCTATCAGTCATATTTAAATCTCACAAAGTGCCTAGCACAGTACTCTGCATATAGTGGGTACAGTACAGCGATGTTCTGAAAGCAGTGGAGAATATCCAGTTATACCTGGGCTGGGCCCAACCTCCTACACCTTAAAAAACAACTAAGAGTAGACAGACTTGAGCTTTTGTAGGTAAACAATCCGTAGGAAGCAGGATGGAGAGAGAACAAGCAAATAGCACAAAAATTTATACAGTGGATCATTAAAAAAGGGGGGGGAGTACATTACAATCAAATTATTTAGCAGCTATTTCTAGGCTAAATACAAATTCTAGATGACCTTTGTGAGTAGTATTGGGAGAAGAAAACTCAGTTCGGAAATATTAGGGTACGACGAGAAACACTTTAACACTGTCTACATAGTCCTAGGTTATACAGAGATGTGGTGCTTATCTGCTAATAGAATAAGCAAAAATAATCCAGCTGGAAGAGGTTGGCTCTACAAACCTACCTGATACGTCTGGTCACCAAAACATTGTCAAACATCTTCGTTTCTAGGGAGCTGAGTTTTTTCTTGGTGAGGAAATATAAATTCTTCTGAAATTTCAATATCAGTAAATATCATTCATCTGTTACTTCATGCCAAAGGAGAAGACACCACGATCTGTTTCAGACTTTCTTCTCCCTTCAACTTCCTTATGTTGAACAACTGGAAAACACTAAGCCTGCTCTCCTGCCCTGACTCTCGTAACCATCTCTTAAACTTCACTGCCGGGGAAGAAAATGATTGATCCTTTATTTTGTGTAGATAACACTGGGGCATAAATCCTTCTGGAGTTAGAATATTTGGAGTGAGAAGTTAATTCATGGCCAGTCTGGCAGACTGTGGATGAGATACTGTTCCGTGAAGCAATTAGTTGCATGAAATAACTGCTTGGAGTGCACGTGTAAAATCCCTGTTGTCCCTGGAGGACTGTGGCTGGCTGGCTAGAGGTGCTAATGATTTTGAAAAGCTGCCTGCAAGTTTGGGTGCATGCATTCATAGATTGCATGCCCAAATGATTCCCCTCTTTGGAAAATGGAACTCATCGTATATATTTTGAACTATGTCCCTATAATATGTTTTACTGCATCCTTAGTTTGGAGATTCATTTGAGGGTGTCAGAAAAACACTTTCTCTATATGCATCATAAAGCAATGCTCCATCTGGGCTTCCTGAGTCTTGCTAGGATATTTTCTCTCTAGTTCCAGCCAACTGGAGACATCAGTTATAGCTATGGTGCTGGGCATACCCATTTACCAGCTTTGCATTTAGAAATATCGTGTGTTTTAGTCCCTGCTTCTTTTATTGATTCATAACATATCTTTGTTCATGTTTATTTCTCAAATTCTGTTTATAATGCCATTCTAGGACTTTGAAGTCCTAAGTGTTTGATTTTAGGAAGATAAAAATACATGGTAATTTAGATCCATGGTCTTAATCCAGGCTGAGACTGATCCCCAGGAATGAGTCAATGTTAGAAGTAAAACTAGCAAAGTATAGAAAGAACATAAAATTTGAAGTCAGAATACATGACTTTGTTACCTATCCAGCAAAAATCATTTAGCCTCTCTGAATCTCAAGTTTCCTCATTTGTAAAATATGGATAACTGTATTTTTCTTTTTCTGCACTGCAGGGTTAATGCAACATATTGGAAAATGTAAAGTTTGATGCTACTGCTGCTGCTGTTGTTAGCACTTGTGTTCATGCAAAGTTTGGTGCAAAGCTGGGTAATATTGTGATTTTTCATTATACTTTTCCCAATGAAAAGAGAAAAAAAATTAGATATATTAAGCTTTCTTCAACAATTTGAATGAGCTTATTGGCATATTCTTGTCCAATGTAGGTTTCCTAGATTGTTGTACTTACTCTTTATACTTTGTGATCACTGACAATTTTTTAGTATAATTTTCTATTATTGGGAGCTTTTATCTTCCTGGTTTTTACACTTGTTATTATCCTGTGAGCATCCAAATGTGTTAGGTAGTAGAAGAAATATTGTAACTAAAATGAGAAAATATACTGACCTCAAACTGTGTGATCTTGAAAATATTATTTAATCTAAGGCTTAGTTTTCTCATCTGTAAAATGTGAACATTTACTTGCCTAAAGCAAAGGGTAAAGAAATGAAATCATTAATGTACAAGTATTTTTCAAACCATAAAATTAACATTTTACATTTATGAACTACTGAGGCAACAATTTGCCTAATGGGTTAATTTTTTTGTTGTTGTTTCTTCGGTTTTTGTCTTTTGAGACAGGGTCTCGCTATTAGCCCAGGCTGGCCTTGAACTCACTACGTAGCCCAGACAGGCCTTGAATTTATGGCAATCCTCCTGCCTCAGCCTCCAGAGTGCTGGGATTACAGGTGTGTGCCACCACTCCCTAGCAGATTAGATAATTTTTAAAGGTCATTTCCTGCTTTAACATCCCATACTTCTTTCAAAATTTAAAGAATGCCCCTGTACCCTTAGGATTACAGAGGAAATGGGGTAGGTAGAAATGAGAGATTGGACGAATACTGCTTATAAAAGGAAGAGCTAGGCCAAGAATTCAGCTCAGTTTGAGATTAGTGGTTGACCTAAAAATGCCATCTATTACTTCCTGAGGCCAAGGAGGCTCAGAGAAGCCAAAATCAGGAAAGTGGATTGGGGTAAATGGACGTGAATGTCCACACATGACAATGCCACTTCAGCTGGGCAGGCTGGGTCTTGTGATCATGTCTGGGGAGGCCAGGCTGGTCTTGGTTACTTTGCTCTGAATGTTTATCTTGATCACATGCAAATTTTGGCCAGCATTTGGCCCAAAGAAGGAATCCAATAACTTATAAATTTATTTGATCTTCTTTTCTGTAAAATATACTGCTCTGCGGGAATACATATGGAAATTTATTTATTTTTATGCCCATTATGTCCTCTTTTTAAAAAATCTTCCTGCATTATTTAATAGATGTGAGGTCATCTTAACCAGAGTAGTAATTTTCCTAGAAGCAATCAGAGAATTCTGTGGGGTCTTGAAAGTAATCTGAGGGGCATGTGTGTGGTCTAAGGACTTGGCCCATATGCTGTAATCAGAGGACACATTTCTCTTCAAGGTGCAGGGTTTCTCCAGAGATGTGGGGGCTATCTTAGATATAAAGTCCTGTCTCATCCTTCAGAAGGGAAATCAGTTACATTCATCAATTTCATTTGTTCTTAACATTTACAGATAACTTTCAGCTTACTGTGTGCTTCATCACTCTTTAAAACTTCAGTTTCATATAATTTCAATGTAGCAACACTTAAAGTCATGAGGGTCACAGTTAAATCTAAACCTTTAACCTATGAGTTCCAACAACAGAGCTGTATCATAACACATTATTGTCCTTTCCTTTTCTGTCCTAATGGCATTTCAATTAAGGTTTTCTTTTCTTTTTTTTTCTTGAGAATATATTCAAGAGAAACTCTCAAGTCAGTATCTAAATTTAGCCTCATTGATCAACACTGACATCTAAATTAACTCCCTTTTTCTGAGTGTCAACAGCTTACAAATCAATATTTCCTGTTCCACCAATTTCCATCAAACACAAATGCCTTCTTTGAAAATGGATCAGTCCAATCTGTAAAGAAAGAGCCTACACTGACAGGGAAAACAAGTCTATCTAATGGGGAATCATGGTTTAACCAACCAGCAGTCCCTTGGCTCCTTGAAAGGCCACTGTGTTTTGCAAAGGTCTTTGTAGGTTTCTTCAGAGTTGGACTTAAACAATCTTATATGGTTTGGAACTATAATCCCACTTTGTGTCATTTTCACCATGCTAGGGAGAAGGCACTTCCCCACCCCTGCAGAAGAATTTTTTGTCCTCCAACTAATGCAATTATGAATGGAATGTATTATTAGTCAAACCAGGACTATTTATATACAGTCTAGCGAACCATTTGACAAACCACCTATCATCATCTCAGGCTCCATCCTATATAGAATGTATATCTGGACAATGAAAATTCATTTCCATTTAATATCAGTTGAAAAAAACATGATTAGGAGATTGATTCTACTATTGATGCCAGAGTAAAAAAAATAAACAAAAACCAGACAAAAAAAGCAAAACTGTAGATTTCATTTCTAAATCAAATAGAAATAATTTCTCTGTTGTTCATTGTATTCAGATGATTATTTCTGCCATCTGCTGTGAAAGCACAGGAAGACTGTAGCAGCCTGGCTCACCTCCAACAGGTGCTACCCTCTCTGTAGGCCATGCCTACTGTCTTCTCAGACATGGTGCTGATCAGCCCAGCTCAGATTGTGTTCTGCTCCTAGGCTTTTCTCCATTGCTTCTGGAATGGCTGGTGGGTATGTGCGGCCTCATAGAGGAAAATCTTGGGGTTAGGAGGCCTGGGTTCAGTTTTCAGCTAACTAATTCAAGTCCCTTCAGCCTATTAATCCTATGGAACCTCAGTTTCCTCATTTGTAAAATAAGCATAATATCATTTCCCCCATGAGCCTGTTCTCTTAAAATGAGATCATAAAAGAAAGTAATGTCGTTTTTGCTAAAAGTTCAGAATTTGTATACGCATTACTGCTTTCGGCCTACTAGGATTTTCATCATTTCCTCATGAATAACATGTCTCTCTAGAGGCTAAAATGTGACCCCAGTGTAATTAAGCAGAAAACACTGGGATGGCAGCTCTGTGAACTGGCCTTGCGTGGGCCTCAGTGATTTCAACTGGCATGAACATAGACTTTTAGCATGGCATGTGTGTAGGCTCTTGTTGAGCACTGATAGGGAGAGAAGGAGAGTGAAAAAGATAATTTTGCCCAATGTAACAAATAACAATGTATTAACTATGACATAGGAATTAGCAAGGCATATCTTGAATGCAAGTGACTGAGCAACACTTAAATAAAATACGCTTTTGTCCCTTATACTAAAATCAATACTTTTAAACCTAAAAGCTCCAACAGCCACTGCACACACAGAAGTGTTTAAAAGTGGAAGATATTTCTCTGCTGAGGATAGTTTGGGCTGGGCTCTGCATAAGCAGGCGAGGAGGGTTGCTTCGGAGAGTACAGAGCAGAAAGCAGCCATCACTTCAGTTAAACGTGTGGTGCTTCCCCTGATGGAAGGCCCTTCTATACTCAGGTGTGTTCTTTCCTCATTATTAGTGACCTCATCCTTGGTGACCCCTTTAAGCTTCAGTGGGTTCATGTGGAAAAGAGGAACTTGCATCTCCTTGAGGGGAGGTAGAAAGGGCACATAGAAATAGAATGATTATTGTATGTTTATTTCTTCAATCTGACTTTGTAAAAAAAAATCCTCCATTTATTATGTTTACATTACCACCGGATCTTCTCATAGTGATATTGACAAATGTGCCATTGGTCAGTATATGTATGTTCCCAGAGGTCTGAGTATGTCTGTATAATGCCTCATGCAGATAAGAATTCTTTTATCTTGTTAAAATCAACTTTAAAATGGAAAGAAATGGTTCTTTTAAGAATCACACACATTACAAACAATGATGGCAGCTGCTATTTATTAATGACTATCAACTATGTAGTCCCAATACAAGTGCCCCAAATTAATCAACCTGCTTTAAAGCCTGAATATGTTTATTGATTAAAAATTTGTATTTCCCATGGACTATATGAAAGGATCAAGCATAGGGAAGAAGAGAATAGATTCAATAATGGAGGATGATCTGGGAAAGCTCTCAGATGGTCTCCTTAGATTGTCATGTGAGAGAAGGATAACACACTTATAGTTTGGGCATTTGTACCACTGGATCTATTCATTACAGCAGCTCAGCGCTGAGATATTAACACAGCTTGACTTTATTGTACCTATCTCCTAAGGCCTGGATACTGAAAGCCCACACCTGCGATGCGACTGTTAATCATATGGAACCTCAATTTCCTCATTTGTAAAATAAGCATAATATCATTTCCCCCATGAGCCTGCTCTCTTAAAATGAGATCATAAAAGAAAGTAATGTCGTTATTGCTAAAAGTTCAGAATTTGTATACACATTACTGGATTTTCATATATTTTCCATAGCAGGAGCAGGCATTAGGCCAGGCTCACCTGTTTGACCTCGGCCTGGAGGTGTCGCAGTTGGAGACACTGCTCTAGCCGCTTGTGGGTCTGCTCTGCGTTGAGCTCCAATTCATGCTGCTTCTCGTGGAGAAACTCCAGTAGCTCTTGCACCTGGGCTGCCAGATCAATGTCTTTTTCACAGATTAATTCAATTCCTGATTTTAAAAAATATAAACAAGTAAAAACCAGGTAGTACTGTGAAGATATTTTAATATGTATAAGACAAATGGAATTTGGAGCAGCTGTTATTAGTTCTCAACGTGTCCATATCCCTCTGTATAACTGTACAGATCATCCTAATGGGCCCTCGTTTAGGGTGGTCAGACCATGCCATCTCTTTTGGATTAACTCATCCTCTGCCTAGAAATTACTTTTCAACGCAATCAGCTCCTTATTTTTAGTAGGCATTAGAGAGAGAGTTGGTTCTCTGGAAGTACATCCCTAGACAAGAAAGTACCTGGCAGTTCCTGCTGGGAGATTTGCTAACACCCAGAACATTCATAAGCTCTGGGTCATATTGCAAAATATACACCCAAATAAAAAGACCCTGTCTCAGGAGCTTCTGCCTAAGGCGCATTCTCTTTTAACTGATCAGATATAATTTATTATTAGATAGGAAGTCCATTACGATTGAGTAGCTAGGGAGTGATGATTTCATTAGCCAACTAACAAGTTAGTTTTCAAATACATCCAATAAACACCCCAGGAAGACCACAAGGATATTGAATATTTGTCTATTTAAAAAACATTACATTTACGTTTTGCCTACATAGGGAATTTGCTCACTGTTCTACTGGTTAAAAACAATTAGTAAGTTCAATCAGCTTCTAAGTGTTGCCACTGTTTATGGATATACCACCCAACGTTAATAAAACACCAGCCTGTAATGACAGACTTGAGCCCATACATGCCAGACAAGAGCTGTGTTACTATGCCTTGTCTTATTTACTTATTATTTGAAATTTTTTGTTAGTTCATGTTGGCAGTAATGTTTACATTCCTTGTTGGAGCTGGCACATGCACATAACACATTTTATTTCCTTATTTCATCTCCTTTCCCTCCCTCTCTCCTTCTTCTATCTCTTGATCTCCTTCCCATTTGAGAAAGATCTATCTTCCCATTTCCTATTCTTTTTCTTTTATTTTGCTCTTTATTTGTAGTTTGAGTTTCTCATGTGAGAGAAACTATGTGATACTGAAGCTCATGTGTCTGATTTATTTCACTTACCATTATGGTGTCAAGGTGCATCCATTTTCCTACAAGTGACTCAAGTTTATCTTTTTTATGGCAGAGTAGTACTCCACTGTGTCTAACTACCACATTTTCTTTATCTATTCATCTGCTGATGGACATACATCCACTTCTAAGATTTAGCTTTTATGAATTGTGTTACTATAAACATAGGTAATATGATGCCTTTAACTCTTTCGGGAAGATACCAGAAGGGGAATAGCTGGATCAAATGGAATTTCTACTTCTAGTTTTTTGAGGAATCTCCATACTGATTTCCATAGTGGTATACTAGTTTACATTCCCACCAACAAGGTAGAAGGGTTCCTTTTCCCTGCAACCTTGCCAGCATTTATTATTTGATTTCTTGATGATGGCCATTCTTCCTGGGGTAAAATGGAATCTTAGTGTTTTTTCATTTTTTACTGAATTTGCTTATTAATTTTATAGGTCTCTTGGTGGATTTCTTTTGAGCCTCCTATATACAGGAGCATGTCATCTGCAAATAATAATAATTTGACTTCTTCCATTGCTGTACCTATCTCATTTATTTCCTTTTCTTGCCTAATTGTTCTTGCTAATGTTTCAAGTACTATGTTGAACAGGAGTGGACATCTTTGTCTTGTTCTTGATTTTAGAGGAAAAGCTTTCAGTTTTTCCTGACTTAATATGATGTTGCCAGTAGCTTTGTCATATAGGGCTTTTATCAGACTGAGATAAGGTCCTCCTATACCTGTTTTCTTCACTATTGTTTTTTAAATCATGAAATGATGTTAGATTTTGTCAAAGGCTTTTTCTGTGTCTATTGAGATGATCATGTTATTTTTGTCTTCAGTTCTGTTCATGTTCTGTGCATTACATTTATTGATTTGTGTATGCTGAACCATCCTTGCATCCCTGGGATGAAGCCTATTTGGTCATGATGTATGATCTTTTTGATGATTCATTGCATTCTGTTTGCCAGTATGTTGTTGAGTATTCTTGCACCTGTATTCATTAAAGAGATTGGTCTACTGTTCCTTTTTTGGTTGGGTTCTTCTCTGGTTTTGGAATCAGGGTAATGATAGTTTCCAGGCATGACTTTGGGAGTACTCCTTCACTTTCATTAAAAAGTTTCAGGAGTATTAGTGTTAAATCTTCCCTGAAATTTTTGTAGAATTCAGGAGTGAATCCATCTGGACCTAAGCTTTTCTTAGTTGATAGGCTTTTTATCACTGCTTCAATTTCATTGCCTGTTATTTGATTATTTAAAGTTTTTAAAAACCTTCTTAGTTCTGTTGATAATTCATATGTACAGTATTAGGAATCCATACTTTTCTTGTGAATTATCCAACTTGCTGGCATACAGATGTGCAAAGTAGTTGTTAATAATCTTTTTTATTTTGGCAGTATCTGTTGTGATTTCATCTTTCTCATTTTTAATTGCATTGATTTGGGTCTTTTCTTTTAGCTAAGGGTTTGTCTATTTGGTTTTTTGAAGAACTCTTTGATTACTGATTTTTTTGTATTTCTTTGTCTCAATTTCATTGATTTCTGCTCTGATCTTTGTAATTTCCTTCTTTGCACTAGCTTTGGGTTTGGATTGTTCTTGTTTTCTAGGACCTTAAGGTACATTGTTAGGTTATTTGGGCTTATTCTGTTTTTATGATGTGGGCATTCACAGCTATAATTTCCCTTTTAGGACTGCTTTCATTGTGTTCCATAAGCCCTGATATGTTATACTGGCACTATTGTATAGTTCTAGAAACCCTCTTTCTTGATTTCTTCTGTAACCCATTGTTTGTTTGTTTGGTTGGTTTTTGGTACTGGGGATCAAACTCAGGACCTTCTGCTTGTAAGGCAGGCGACAGATCCACTGAGCTAAATCCCCGGCCCAACCCATTGTTTATTTAAGAGCAATACATACTATTTAGTGTCCATGCATTTGCAAAATTTCTGTGTTTTATTTTGTTGTTGATTTCTAGTTTCATTGTGTTATGATCTGATAATATATATGGTATAACTTCAATTCTTTCACATACTTAACCTTACTTTATTGGCTAGTGTGTGGTCTATTTTGGAGAAAGTTCCATATGTTACTGAGAAAAATGTGTATTCTGTTGTTATGTGGAATACTGTAGATATTAAGTCCATTTGTTTGAAGGTTTTGTTCAACTCTGATATTTACTTGTTGATTTTTTGTTTAGTTGATCTATTTCTGATAGTAGGGTACTGTGGTCCCCTACTATAATTGTGTTTATGTTTATCTGGTCTTTTATGTCCAGTAGTACTTGCTTTATAAAGTTGCCATTATGGTGTGTCATTGTTTGGTGCATATATGTTAATAATTCTTACCTCTCTTTTTTGATTGTTCCCTTAACCAATATGTAGTGACCTTCTTTGCCTCTTTTCATCAGCTTTGGCTTGAAGTTCACTTTGTCTAAATATAGGATAGCTATACCTGCCTTTCTTCAGGTTCCTGTTGCATGGAATATTGTTTTCCATCCTTTGATTTTTAGTCTATGCGTTTCTTTTTTGGGTTGTGTTTCTTGGATACAGAATACCATTAGATTTTGTTTCTTGATCTATTCTGGCAGTGTCTTCTGACTGGGGAATTGAGACCATTCAGACTGAGAGTTATTACTGATAGGTATCGACTTATTCCTTAATTGCTTTATTTTCCTGTTGCTTATTTCCTACCTCCTCCTTCTATCTATCTGTTCAGTCTATCTGGTATATTAATTCTATTAGAGCTTTTGTCATTGCTAACTTCATTGTTTTTTTCTAGGATATCCTTGAGAATTTTTTGGAGTGCTGGTTTGGTAGTCATGACTTTTTTAGGTGTCTCTGTAACATGAAAATATCTTATTTCTCCATCAGTTTTGGAGAATAGTTCTGGAGAATAGTTTTGGAAGACAGTGTTGTAGGATATATCAGTGTGTGTGGGGGTGCTGCATGGACAAGTGTGTACCTGTTTGTTTGCATAGGCAGAGAGTGCTACATGGTCCAGCATGGGGCTTCCTGTCTTCTCTTTCTAAATTCCTTTCCCCATATCCAAGAGTGGACAGAAACATGCTTTCTCTCCTCATCATGCCAAGACTCCTATTTATACATTATTACCAGCAGGTCCAAAGTAGCCTTCCTTCAATGGATTTCACCTTAGGAAGACTGATTAACAAACTGAGACTGAGTAATGGGTTGCCTTAGTTATCCTGGTTCTTTTGTCTGCTGGTGATGTGACTCTTGAGTCCTTCTTAACTTTCTAAGACAATGTGGAAATGTATGAGGTTTAGAACCAGTCCTGACTTAGAATCCTGATACTGGGCAAGTTATCAAGGCTCTCAGATGCTTTATTTTCCTCATATTTAAATTAGGTTTTAACATTCCTATCTCATAAGCTACCTACTTCTTAAACTTATTGGGGGAATTACATGAGATAATGCATGTAAATCATATGTTATATACACATACCTTTATTGTGTGCATTTTTGTCTTATATACACAATCAATATATATCAATATACATGCAATAAGTATAGAGTGCTCCCAGTCCCATGTTTTATTTTCTTGTTTGTTTATTTTTGTTTTTAGTTTTGGGCTCTCATTTTAAACTTTCAACTTTCTGCCTTCTAATATTCATGCCCTCTTGGTTCCTATCTGTTTCTGACTTAATGGAAGTTGTGATCCATGCTGTTTCTTGATTCTGACTGTGTACTTATTTCTAACTCAGCTTTGCTCAGATCCTTAGGTTTGGGAAAATTCTAACTCTGGATTGTTTGCTTATTATGTCCTCTGACTCCACTTGACTCTGTAGCTTCTTAGTTCTATCCAAATTTTTTCTTTGGCTCTTCAACCTATAGCCCAAGACACAAAGCAGCTATGGTCCCGATGTTAATACCTTGTCTAAGACAAAGAAGAAAAGGGATACAACCAACAATGGGATTC